TTCCGAGTGCTCCTATGATATAGCCAAGGAGCTCCTCATTACTCCTGTGGGTGCGACTGAGATGATTCTTTTTTTTTTTCTTATCCCTTCAATTTTTTAGGTGAGTCCCCTCTTCCATAGCCGACCGTAGTCTGGCATGCTACCCCTCAGCTGCGAGACGATCATTAGAAAATTTTCGTAGGTATTATTTAAGTTGCGAGAGAGGCATCGCTCGTCTACGGGATGAAGGGAGTGGAAGGGAGAACAAAAAGGGAAAGAAATATGAGTCATTACTGCTTACTCTCTCGTACTTATTGAAGGGTATGTATGGATAAACCATACTAGCCTCAGGTAGCGGCTCCTAGGAAGTCAAACTCTAATATAGGGTAAATATTTAGGATTACTATCAAAATTTTAGTATTGTAGTGAGAAGTTGTTGATATTTATTTTATTAATCGTTCCACATCCGGCACTGTTTACAGTTTTCATCGGTGTAGCTTCTTATTTGTTACCGCAATTTCTCTATACGTTGCCAATTCACTCCCAGGGCAGGCTTCGGATTGCAAATGCGTCTAATTTCCGTACAATTTTTCATGCGATTCCCAGTTGCGCCTAGTTAAGACACTCCAAAGCCTACTTTATATATCTTGTAATTCCTAATTGTGCCTAGTTAAGACCATCCAAAGCCAACTTTACATATCATGCAATTCTCAACTGCATCTAGTTAAGACCCTCGAAAGCTTGCTATTTATTTCAGAAACACCCTGTACAGGTAACAGCATATAAATTAAGCCTAGTTTTTCTTGATATTTGCAACTTTACCTATTTTTGGAGGCACGAATCGACACTGATATATATGTATGTTTTCAATTTTTCCTAAATTAAAAAACAATGTTTTAAGTTTTAGTTGCACAACTTTTTGCAGCGCCATGCATGTTAATTTACTAATAATTTATTGACATAACCGATCAATACCAACCGCATTATTATATTATGGATTATGATCGTTCTTCGGTCTGAATCTCAGAAGTTTTGATTAAAACCGACAGAATCCCCGCCGCGGGATACTTTGATCTCGTCTATAATCGAGTGCTATTGTGTGGAAAATGACGCATTTGTGTTTGGTTAGTAAACCTATCCGCCAGTACCAAAGAAGACGCAGTAGTTACACAGTCTACCACGTAAGATTATTCCGCCTTGTTAAGACTTTCGTATCGTTTCGAAAATAACTGAAAATCGTCGGCTGATTGAACAAAGACTTTTGTTTGTTGTGGATAAGGGCGAGTTCCTGCCGACTTCGACATTTCCATACCGCTTCCACCCATTTTCTTACTTTTTATTGTCTTGACATTTCGGTGATTGCACGAAATAAACGCAAAACATTAGTTAAAGGGTCGGTTGACTACTAATAATTTAAAATTTTCATAAAAAAATTTACAGTACTTTGGCACTATAAATTTAACACGTGCTCGTTACTGTTATTGTCTTATTTTACGTATTGTTGCGCGAAACTACACCCCTTATTGCGAATTCAAATAAAATTTATTAGCATCAAAATGCGGGGTGTAGCACTGCGATAGGATACACTCCCTCAAGTAAAGAATAATAAAAAACAGTTGTTACCGTACTGGATTAATGCACATTGTATGGGCATTATTATTGAAGATGTTAGAAATCGGGTGGGATTGGAGCACGAAAGTCACCAGTTGACTAAATTAGGAGCACATGATTCCTGTGTTTTTTTTTTAGGAACACATAATAATTTGTTTTTACCTTCTATAAGCTGAAAATGCTCTAAGTCAATGGTACCTAACGGAACACGAAATACCGAGCGGCATGGCCTAGAGGTCTAGACCATTGCTTAGCATTCGGGAGGACGCCGGTTCGATTCCGGGTCCGTCTGCCTTGGTCCAAGTTTTTCTGTGGTTTCCTTGGATCACTTAGGCAAATGCTGGGGCAGTAATATTCCACAGATAATCTTCCATCCTCTTCTGTCTTCATTTCGTCCGTCTCATCTTTCTCACCCGAACCACCACCACCCACTCATTCCCACGATTCCTGAAAGCAGGCCGAAGAGGGCCTTTCGCCCTACCTTCCGGTATAGTCCGGAGGGACTGCCCGCTCACCAGCATTACTGGCTGGTGGGAATGAAACACCCAAAAGTTTTAAAGTTTTTAAAGAACACGAAAATTGCTTCTTCAGTAAATTAGGAGTACATAAAGAGCACACAATGAAACACTTTGACATTTAATATGGGTCAATATCAAATATTAATGTGAAAATTCATTTTTAATTTTCAATCCCACTACAAACTACCTTAAATTAATGAGGGAAAAAATGAATTTTCACATTAATATTAACAGCACACAATTTCTATGCCTTTCATTCATTTCATTATTTGTTTATGGAAAACCGATTTCGTACTGCACCCCGTACAACCATTGAAAATATTTCAAGTTGGGTGATACTGAAAGGAGTGGCTATTGTTACAATTTTTATAAACAAATAATTTTGTGCCGAAATAGAAGATTATGTGCATATTTGGCTTATTACTAGACGCTATAGTTTTTATAAACAAATAATTTTGTATCGAAATACACACAGGAACTATATGGTCTTTATGTGTTCTCAATATATTCAGGTGGCGATCCCACCCGACTTCGAGCATCATCATCATCGAATGAAAAATATTCAGCAATTGGATTCTGTCTTATGTAATTGTGAAGCACATAAAAGGTAAATAAATCCAATGTGATAACAACTGTTTTTTTTTACTTAAGAGGGGTGTGTTGTCATAGTGTATGTGTAATTTGTATATGTATTTCTCACAGTGGTGTGCTAATTTTTTTTTTACCGGAATGCGTATATATAATTATACAGACAGGGCTGATCCTGGGTAGGCGGCCGCTCTGTGCGGTCTCATGTCCCAAATTTGACGACGACGGGGGGGGGGATTTACCCCAATTTTCGCCCGTCGCCAGGATCGGCCCTGTATATAGCATAAAATGGAAAGGAAACGACAATCATTACGACACCCATTTTGTGTATATGTATATGTATATATTCTTACACTAAGGGTGGGGGATGCACAAACTAACAAACTACAAAGATGGGAATTTCCCAGCAATGCACATTTCAGGTGAAAATCGGTACGTTTGTCGGCATTTTTCTTAGCATCACTGTAATAAACTAATAAAGTTTAAAACATCTACCAATACTGGAAAAAAACATCTGGAAATTCTAGTTCACAACAAATGTATAATAAAAATTCTTAGCATCATCTATGCCAGGGATGAGTAACGTACGGTCCGTGGGCCGCTTGTATTAAAATTTATGTATGAAATCTTTACTTTTTTAAAATTTTATATTTTTTTCTTCTAATGTTTATTATAAATAAAGTTTGATTCCCGTTGAACCGGTTCAAAAACCGGTTCACGTATTTGTTTCGGTTCGGTTCGAGTTCCAGTTCAGCAGAAAAAAAGCGTTCCGGACTCCGCTTCACGGTTCGGAAAAACAAGCCGGTTCGTTCCGGTTCGGGTTCGGTTCAAACCCTTCTTTATAGTAATACATATAAAAATTCGTCAAAAATTAGATAAAAAAATCAGCAATTCTTTTTAATTTTTTTTTTCAATAAGTCAGCCAATTCTCGTTATCAGAAATCATCAGTTTTATTTGGATTCACGAGACGGAGGCTGAAAAATGTAGATTACAAAAATTGGACACAAATTAAGAGTACAATCCACAGAAATTGATTTACTATGGAGAAGGGGAGAGATTAAAGCGATAAATAGAACTCTAATTAAACAGTTCAAAAAAGCAATTTCGCACCGTCAATTTTTTATCAAAGGGTTAGGTACCTTCTACTATAATGAATAATGAAAATTGCTTGTCAAAACCAGCCAGCATTAGAAGTGCCCACATCTTAATAATTACTCTAGGAACGTAAAGATGTAATGTCAATTTTAAATTTATTTGTTGGTTGACGTGAAAACGTTGTTTGGGAGTGAATAGGGATAGGGATCAGCTTGCACAACACAAAAAAAGGGTTTTTGTTGGGAGCGAACAGTTATTAGTTACTGATGTCTGCGGTGGTGGAAGTTCACATTTCTGTAAACACAAGGAATGCCATGGAAAATGCGGTAAAGACGACGAAAAAAAAAGAATAGTGAAGACTCGAGCTGCATAAGCAAACACAAGAAATTCATCTTTGTGCTCGCGAACTATTGTTTTGAAACTTCGAAACGATTATTTAAAAGGTATATGTGAAGCCCGACCCTGCATGGATCCGAAACGCAAAATATGAACAGTAGACGCGGGGAAAAGGAAAAGTATGTTCGCAGGCAAGGACCAATCGACTAACTGTAACCTTTGCATTAGACGCCGATGGTATTATATCATACATTGAATGACATATATTTATCGCTTAACAATAGAAGTTCCAGAATTCTAAAGAGGAATGGAGATATTCCTAGTATTTAGATAGTTATCATCATAAGGTCGTCAGTCCTAAAACTGGTTGGACACACACCTCCACTCTTTCCTATCCTGAGTTAATCTTCGTATTTATCAGAAACTAGAACAACCTACATTCTTAACTATTTGCGAAGAGTAATCTAATCTACTCCTAACTCTTGTTATGTCTAATATGTCTGTGATTAAACTGTAGCGGTAACACCGTTAAAATTAATTTTTATATTCGTTTTTATNTTAGGGAAATGCGAAGTTTAGTTCAGGATAGGAAAGAGTGGAGGTACGTGTCCAACCAGTCTTAGGACTGATGACCTTATGATGATGATGATTCGTTTTTATTGAATTTTTATTATTATTATTGTTTTGTAAATATTCTTCAAAATCTATTTGTAGACTTACAACTTCGTATCTTGTGCATGCCTTTGTTTCCTTTCAACCTAGATTCTATTGTTCTACTATCGTTAGCCTTTACCTAGAAATTCATCTGTGTCTCTACGTTCAACCGTCTCGTTAGTTTACTTTAAAAAGTTCAACACACTAAATTAAACTCATACGTTTACTTTGTATTTATAAATTAGTAGAAAGAATACAAAGAGTGGCGATCAAATGTTTTGCATTTTTTTATGTCACAACAAGTTACGATTATTTACAGCATCTCTTATGTACATTTTTGAAGGTGTAATTTGCCTTCCTTTCGGGATCTTCTTCCCAAGAATAGCCGGTTGTGGTAGCATTTACTCTGGGGTTGTGAAATAACGATTCATCCGTACCGCCACGCCACGGGAATTGTTTGTGTCTGATACGCATGTGAGGATACGGGTAAAATGGAGGAGGCTCTCTCTCCTCTAAGCTGCTGATAATAAAGAAACTTGCTGTCGCTACGAACGGTACGACACCCAGTAGGCTTATCATTCTCCATTTTCCAGCCACATTATCTGCATTTTTAAAGTTGTCATCAGTCGACGTTTAATAATGTTTAAACATTTATGTGAAATTAAATCAATTTCTACCTAGTACAAATTACCTAAAATTAATCAGAAAAAATGGTTGCTGCTGTTACACACTCGCCGGGAATTGAACTCGGGACTTTTGGGTTTACACACCACTGTTCAGTCCACTAAGCAACGGTAGGTGACAGCAGTAACAACGACGAAACGTGCTTAGTAGCATTAGATCACCAGAGTCGTTGAAATTAATGTACGAATATGTTACTGGAAATGTATGAAATCCGTCGTTATATACAATTCCTAGGAGACGTATATACTGCCTAAAAACGCCCGGAAATGTGTGAAATAAATTATATTAGACATATTTCCTAGGAAATCTACACAATTCCCTAATAGCAATCGGAAATGTATTACAGGTAATGCTAAATAGGCAATAATACGACCGGAAGTGATATGCTGATATGTTAGATGTTAGAATAATGTGATGAGGTTATCTTTGTTTCCGTAAACACGATGACCTTGAATTTTTTGTATATTGTAGAGGTGATAATGCTGATCACATATATATATATATGTATATATATGTTGGATGTTGAGATCATAAAAAAGCATACTTTTCGAAGACATTATTTCAATATATCAGCCAGTCAGTCATAAATCTACCTAATAGCCATACAATAACGTCACTAATGTATATACATCTCCAAACCTAACCTAACTAAATGATAACGTCACCAATGCATATACATCAGGCGATCACACTAGAACCGCGTAAATACAGACAATACCGATTCTCATTTTATTCACCGAAAACATTACTTTTATACATTTCCTAGTACAATATCGGAATTTCATACAATTCCTAGGAAATGTATACATTTCCCAGGATATGTGTTTATTAAAAAATCTAAATAGCATCGGAATTGTATACAATTCCTAGATTTCATACATTTTCGGTAACATATATACCATTTATATGAAACACTTTAAGAAGCTGTTAATAGTGGTTAAAATTTAATAATGTTTAAACATTAATGTGAAAATAATTCAATTTGACATCGTTTGTCCGTGTTCAAAACGTCAGTGTTTTTGGGGTTCTTGTCATGGTTTGTTGATTTTATAAATATAAACGGTAGTATGCATTCTATTATTTTAACAATTTTAGGATATACAGTCAAAATCGTTTACGACATTAAGGGCATACCATTTTCTGATCTTTTTGACGTGACAACGTCTTATAATTTGATGGAGCCGGCTGCACGCACGAAAAAACGTGACTCATGCGGCGTTACCTCGCTCTGAGGCGTTCCATTTAAGGCTTGAAGTGCAAGCGAGAGCGCGGAACGAGCGACAAAGAGGCACAATCGGCCTCCGCGTTCGGCAGCGTTCGACATCTGTCTCTCTCCTACTTGAGTGAGCGATGCGTCCGCGTGGACAGCTGCTATACAATAATACATTTACATGTTTTCGTCAAGTATGAAGTGCAGTGAAAAGTGAATGTGGTGTCAATTGTTTATAGCAACGATAATTGCGGCGATAAAGGTATATTTCGATATTAAATATATGTTCAGTGATATATTGTTGAATTGAAGCTAGAGTTACAAAAATTTTAATGATGTTTAAAAGTTGTAAATAAAAGTTGTAAAACAATTGCTCAAAGCACATTCATATTTGTAAAAACTATGTACATTGGAAAAAAAAATAAATAAAAATTGACATAATTGTATTTATGCGTGCAAATAAATGTAACTTGATCAATTCAATTGTGATTTCCATTTACCTCCTTCTCTATATCCATACAAAATATCTATCAAACAAATAAAATTAAAATTTTCTTTTGAAAAATGAAACCATTCCATCAGTATTTTCTTATGACATTGTCACGTTCAACTATCGTCAGTAAACCGACTTTACAGACAACCGATTTTTTTTTAGCCGATAGTGGTTATAACCGATCATTACAAATATACATATATCTAAACTTATATGCTTCCATTCACAATTGGCATACCACGTCTTTCGCTTTTCACAAATAAAAAAATATTTACTGGACGTTATAACCGGTGCGTTTATCTAAAACTGTGAAGAAAAATAAGTGATTTCGTACTAAGCGAACTTCTGAAAGATATGATGTTCAGATACAGTTAGAACGGTATTTCCGAAGTGATATTTCGTGGTTGTACCCAAAGTTGTTCTAGTGTCACTATAAACTCTGTTTATGGAAATTTAAATTCTGTCAGGCACTGTTTAAACTTAACTGACATAGAACCATAATGTATTTAAACTATAATAAAAACAGTAAATTGATGTCTATTCTATACACAGATTAAAAAATTATCTGAAATCGGAACTTTTCTGGGAGTTGAAAATAAAATTTTCTTTGGCGTTCATAAAATCTTAAAGTAGGTACGTGAAAAACTTACGTGTAGCTACATGTTTTCCGCATTTTAGATTCATTTTTAATTTTTAATTTTTGTTGCTTTGGTTAGTTGCTTTACACGAAAATTTTGAATATATTCCAACAGAAGTACAAGTTTTTGACAAGTTATACAAAAAATTTTTGTTTATGTAGTAATTTATTTATCGCCTACTGAATATATTTATTGAAATATTAAATTAAAGATAATAATAATTAATCCACGGTGTAGCTAAGCCTACGTGGCAAGCACCTAACAAAACAAAAAGTTCATGGCGGACAGTATTCGTTTGGACCATGTTAAGCATTTTTGAATTCCAGAAAATATAGCAATATATTACAGATGACGTTAACTATCGTATTTGTAGTAATTCATAAAACGTGTCTTAAGGCAAAGGTGGAGCGAGACTGATAGGGTCCTGTGAGATCGAAATCGCGATGAACTTTTCGTTCTGTTTGGTTACGTGCTTATTATGTAGGATTAGATACGCCGTGGATTCAGTTTCACAAATCGATATGGACCTTGTCGAAAATTTTTGAATAGCACTAAAGACAGCAATGTATTATAGATGGCGTTAACCACGCTGCTTGTAGTAATTCATAAAACGCTGTCTTAAGGCAGCAGGTAGAGTGGGTCTCTCGAAACTGCCTACGACGTGCTGATGAGAGTGAGACCCAATGTGATTTGCTAGAGGCATAGTGGGTCTATGTTCTGTCGAAATCATATATGCAGTAGGTACTCCTGTTTCTATAAGTGGAAGCTGTTCCGGCAAAGTGAAAAAGAGTAGTTTTCTCTATCTTTTGAGTCATATTTGCGCATACAGTTGCATACTGCTGTTACTTTAAAGATTACTCAAGCATGCGCAGCATGGACAAGGTGTCAAGAATAAAGAAGTCAGCACCGTATTGGCAGAGAATTTTTTCCTACACCAACTGGTTATATAGAATTATTACATATATAGTGGAAATTGTCTACGACATGCTGATGAAATCTAATAAGTTTGTAATCGTGATCTGCATCTGATAGCCATGTAGGGTTGGTTACGCCGTGGGTTTAGTTTAACAAGTGGATATCCGTATGGACTTTGTTGAAAATTTTTGAATTCTACTGAAGGTAGATAGGTAGGTAGGTACTATAGATGGCGTTTATCACACTGTTTGTAGTAGTTGATAAAACGTCGCCGCGCTGTAGCAGCAAGTACAGTGAGTCTATGTTCTATCGAAACTGTCTACGCGTGCTGACGGGATTCAGTGACATTGAAATCGCGATCCACGACTGACGGTTTCAGCAGAATACTGACGACCATGAATTATGGTGGCTTATAGGTATTGATGATTTAACCAAACTTATAGGGATTTATGAGGATTTATTTGTCAGAAAGCTGTACAAAATTTTAAACAGATAGTTTAGCTTAGCCTTTTCTAGACAACTTGAACAAATAACTAATTATTATTAATTTCAAACCTAATAACAAAACTCTCAAAAGCTCATCATTACGTTTAAACTGAATTTTTCATACTATGGACTACTCTACATAAAAGCAATCGCATTTGCAAAGGAAAAAGGGAGAATTTTTTTTATGGATCCGTGTTCGGAAAAAATTGCAATATTAGAGTTCCCTTTTCTTATAGATACATCTCTAATATGATTATTTCGAAATTACCCACAGTAACCTTTAGTCACTGGAAGTTTTTGTCAGTAATAGCGACAATGGATGGGCGCTAATAAAATAAAAGGAAGAAAATGAGGCTGTCAAATTGGGTGGTATAATAAACCCCTGTTCTCTTTTAATAAAGGGATACGTATGTACATACCGGGATAATAGGGGTGTAAAATGTTAAACGGGAATGACTCCGGATGCCTTGCAACCCGTATAAGTAACGCTTTTTGCTACCGGTTACGTGCCATTTGAATTCCTAATAAAAACTTTTTATTTCCGTTTCCGAAATTGGATACGACCGGGTAAGTAGAATCGTGATAACTCAGTTTTTATTTCAACGACATCCGCGAACGTATGACAGATATAAAATTTTTATCTAATAAAATTACAAGAGGAACTCGAGAATTGAATGGATATTTATTTTATTCCCCCCCTGCGCATTTATTACGGATTAGAAACAATAGAGGGCGGAAAATGGGAAGATATTCAATAACATATTCTTTTGTGTTTCCAGCAAATTTGAGATCAATTTTCTAAACGTTTGCTTGCTTGTTTCTTGATATTCTATTTGATAAAACAAAAACAAAAGTAGTAGTCCAATTTATAACACGTGTAATACAAAACGAAAACGATTTTTTCAAATTTTTTAAAATAGAACAAACAGAATAGCTCAAAACCCCAACGCCAAAACACGACACTGTAATTGTCGGAAGCACTTTTCGGTAACAAAGTTACCTTCTTCAGGGACTGAAGTAAACTAAACCTAAATGGGAACTAATCCTAATTTATACTGATAGTTGTTAAGGTTCAGTGAACATGACCCGATACCAACAAGGTAGATGTTCAATGGACCTTAACAATCATGAACGTAATTAAACTAGACTAAATAGCGGAGATCCAGGGATAGGACCGTTGTCATTGTTAAGAACAATTTGTTTATTTTTATAAATGTATAAACTTTCAAAACTGTCTAGTAAACGATTATTCCTAACTTCTTTAACTAACTTAAGATTATTAATATTAATATTATGTTCATCAGTAAGAATATGTTGGGCAACACTAGATTTTTCTTCTCTACCAAACCTAGCATGAGCTAGATGTTCCTTAAATCTAGTTTTGATTGAGCATCTAGTTTGTCCAATATATTTTTTACTACAGTCATTACAACTAATTTCATATATCCCCGACTTTTCTAAGAATGGAATTTTATCCTTAGGGTTACGGGTTACCAAGGAGAGTTTGAATGGAGTTGCCATTTGAACTGTAAGCAATCCGTAAACCAAGTTTTCGAAAAATACCCTCGAGTCCACGAGTAAATCTTGGCTCGTATGGCATAGTAATAAACTTGGTTTTATTAGCGTCTGTTTGAAAAGTCGTAGATCTTGAAATAAAATTCCTAAATTTTATCTTATTAATTAATTTATCAATAATGTTACAACTGTAACCATTGTCTTTTGCAATTTTCTTAATTCTAAATTATTTTAATGTATTAGAATACGTTCCCAAAATATCTTATTTTGTGACCCCAAAAATGAATGATAACGATCATGTTCACCCGCAGTAAAAATGTACGTCAAAAGCCTGTTAACTAATAATTATATTATTATATTGCATCATCATAAGGTCGTCAGTCTTAAGACTGGTTGGACACGCACCTCCACTCCTTCCTATCCTGAGCTAATCCTCGTATTTCCCTAAAACTAGAACATCCCACATCCTTAACTATTTGCGAACAATAATCTAATCTAAGTTTATCTCTACTCCTTTTAATTCCTGTTTCTGCCTCTAACATGTCTCTAATTAGTTCTTCATGCCTGAAAAGATGCCCTATCTCGCCTATTTTTTATTGACTTCCATAGAGTTCTTTAGATTTCTAACCTTTCCTAATCCACGGTATCCATCATTCGCAGGTGACACCACATTTCCAACGCTTTGCACCGACTCCAAAAATAACTGATTGTAAATTGTATCAATGATTTTGTCGATTGTTTTAAAATGCACTTTGCTTTGAAGTAATTAAAATATTGTTTTCTACTTTTTAGTTTAAGTTTGCACATGCATTTAAGTATAGTCATGAAGTCGGTTTTTGCTTTTTGTTTTTAATTAACTTGATGAGTACATGTAATAGAATATTTCTATGTTCTGCTCTAAACCCGCAACTAATGTTTATCTCAAACATATTTTGCTAATACTTCTATAAAAAATGACTAATATTTTGTCCACACATTCGATTTTAAAATGTATGTATGTTTTTCAAGAATTTTATTATATTTTTTGAGTAAGTGGTTTACATTGCCGTCAACAGTTGATGTAAACGTAACAGAATGCGTGGAAAGCTCAAAGTCCATTCCAAAACACAAATCCGACCCTCTTTCCGAAGTTCTTTGACCATGAGTTCTTTTTCTTTTTAAAGCTATTGTTACTTGTTCCTTTTTAATAGAGTTTTGTTGTTGTTCCTTTTGTGAATAAAATCTTTCAGGCTGCGAATGTATTTACTTAAAACAATGTCGAAAATCACTTTCAAACTGTTGTTTTCGATTGCTTTACCATTACACATCAAACTAATATTAAATTTATCTACAAATCGTCATTATCATAAAGTCATCAGCCTAAGACTGGCTGGACACGCATGTCCACATTTTTCTATCCTGAACTAATTCTTGTATTTTCCTAAAACCCGAACATCTCACAAGCTTTACTATTTGTGAAAAGTAATTTAATCTAGGTATACCTCTCCTCTTAGCTCCTGTTTCTGCTTCTAATCTGTCTCTAACAAGCTCTTCTTGTTTGAGAAGGTGCCCTACCAAACCTAATTCGCCTATTACTTACTAACTTCCATAGTGACTTCTGTTCGCTTATTGTTTCTAGTACCTCGTCATTTCTAACCTTTTGTATTCACGGTATTCTCATCATTCGCCTAATTCCACATTTCGAATGCTTTTTACCTTTTCTATTCTGCAGCGCCCATAGTCCATGTTTTGCACAGCTCCAGGCATAGGTACGTACACCTTTAACAATTTTTTTTTGAATTCTAAATTAACCGTTCACGGCTATAGAAGTGACTTCCTTTTGTTGATGGTGACCCGACTCTACGCTAACCTGTTTTATATCTCCAATACTGCTCCTTGAATCCTTAGTTGTCTTACTTCCGAGATAACGAAAATTAGTCACTTTTTTTATGTACAAATATTAACTAATAAATATTTAGCGTAAGCTGGCAGCGCTTGAGGAATAACTTAATTTTTAATTTATAATATAGTAAGGCTTGAAGGTCTAGTCAGAGACATATTAGAGGCAGAAACAGGAGTTAGGAGGCGTAGTGGTAGACCTAGATTAGATTACTGTTCGCAAATAGTTAAGGAAGTTGTTTCACGACATTACTAGTAAAAAGTTTATGCTAGAGTGTATCGTACATAGTGATGGTCAACTCGAGTAGCTAGCTCGGGTTAACTCGAGTCAGCTCGAGTTGAATTCTCTATAACTCGAGTTCGAAAACCGA